CGTATTATTAGTTTCTACATATAAATGAAAGAAGTGAAGCTCAAAAGTAAAGCAAATTGCCCAGGATCACATAGCTTGTTAGTGGCCTGTGTGGATTTGAAAGGACGTGTCTATTATTTGAAAACCCATATTTTTTAAAATAGAACATCACATTGCTTAAAAATGATTAAGATCCAGTTAACTAGAATCATCCTGTTGTGGCCCATCCTTTTTTCATATTATTATAAGTCAGCCCAGTTCTGCCGTTAATTTGCTGTGCAACCTTCAGCAACTCACCTTCTCTGGCCAAACCTCAATTTTCCCATCTGTAAAGGGGCTTGGTTATCCCTAACAGCCGTTCCAGGTCCTACTGTTCCCGTGCTCAGAGAGTTCTTTGACCACAGACATTTAACAACTGCCCCCAACAGGTTGCCTTCATTATTAATGGCGAAACAATCGAGGCTTGACCACAGCTTCCCACAACAACACTAAACATTATTTAGATTTATTGGTTAATTATTCACCAGTTTTATCTAAATTTGAATCTTTGTGCTGTAAAATGTGAACTTGCAGAGTGACATTCATTTCCCATTAACCTAATGAGTCCTTCCCTCCGCCCTCCCCTCCTGTAGCCATTCATTATGGAAGGGAGGAGGCCTTGGTCTGAGGTTTTGCTGTGAATTTCGTTTTCAATGATCCCTCTGGGAAGGAGATGGTGGTGGCATTTTCAGGGTCGTTCTGGCAGAGAAGAGGGTAGAATCTGAGCCATCCCTACTGCACGGTCAGTTCCAGCATCAGGGGGTGTACTGATGCCAACCTGCCCCACGGGAGAATTAAAGGCACTTTAGGATGTGTGCCGAACAAGAACAGACACAAAAATAAGCAAGGTGCCAAGCACACTGCTTAGATGCAGTCATGGTATAGGGCCTGGGCTCAAGTGAATAAATCGGGATTTGGGTTCCAGTAGGCACTGTGGTACAGTGGTTAGAGCCCTGCACAGCCAGGGACTGGCCTTGGACAGATCACCTGCCCACTCCATGTCAGTCTTGTCAGCTGTAACTCTGTTTCCTGCCCCAACCCCATGTTTCATACTCTCATACTAATCACCCAGAACAGAATGTACAAGGCTGTTTCTCAGGCCAATCCCCCCCCCCCCCCCCCCGCCCGGTTCCTCTTTTTAAGAATCGCCTTAGCCTCTTCTTGTGCAGTTACTCTCCCATGTAAATTTCACAATCAACTTAAGTTTTTTAAAAACAATACTGGTAGAATTCGGACTTGGGTGTTGACTGCTCCCCCCCCCCCCCCCCCCGCCCGGTTCCTCTTTTTAAGAATCGCCTTAGCCATTTCTTGTGCAGTTACTCTCCCATGTAAATTTCACAATCAACTTAAGTTTTTTAAAAACAATACTGGTAGAATTCGGACTTGGACCGTGTTGACTGTAGATTTGGGAAGAACCGACAGAGTGAGTTTGCCCCTCCACGAAGCGGCATTTCCCCGCTCACTCGCCCTCTCTCTCTGAGTCTGAAAGCTTATCCGTGAAGACCTTGTGCACTTGTGGGTATATTCTGAGGCCTCGCGTTCTACGTTGCAGAGTCTATGTCACTTTCTCTTTGGTGCTGGCGGCTGGTAGACACCGGGCACAGGCTGATCTCTCCTGCTGGTCCGAGTGGCTCTAGACGCCAGCTTGGTGCCGCTCCTGGCTCTGTCCAGGCGCCGATGCCTCGCTCTGCCTCAGTGGCTGCCTTTGTCCCCGCTGGGCTTTGCCATGCAGCTCCTCCCCACCCTGTCAGGCCCGTCCTGGGGTCCCCTCACCACCACCCCTCCCCCATTGCCCTCTATCCCGTGAGAGCTGCCCCTCCAGCCTGCGGGTCTCACTAGACCTGCCTCCACCCGAATGGGAAGGCCAGTGTCGGGGAAGGAGGGAGGGAGTGTGCGAGAGGTTGTGCGAGGCCAGCCTTGGAGCTCACCGCACCCGGGAGTCCGGACGGGTGGTTAGGGTTTGGCTGTGGTGTCCTCACCGGGCAGCAGTGGCATTGGGAACATTGTCAGACAGCTGGCCATTCACCAGCGCGGGCCTTCCCTGGCAGAGGCCTGGCCCCACACAGTCCAGGTAAAGCCGACGCCACCCCAGATGCTGAGGTCCTTTCTGCTCCAGACCCACCCCACTCGGTCTCCCACCCCTTCCTCCTGCTGCCCGTTCAGAGGCGACTAGAGCCCCTGCTCCTCCCAGGCCCCTGTGGGGCTGTTACCTGTTCTCCTGCTCCACCCAGTTACAGACTCGGGGCCGGGGCTACGGGGGACTCCACATCCAAGGCTTTAATACGTCAGAAGGTGCTCCCACACAGCCCGCCCGCCTGCCCGCCCGTGGGCAGCCTGCAGCCCTGGTTCCTGAGTGGGCGCCCTAAGGGGTCCAAGGAGAGGGCAGGCACAGCGGCAGGAGGGCCAAACTCAGACAGGAACCCTGTCTTCATCATTTATCCTTTCCAGATACCATAGAAATGTAAGCAAAATAGCTATTTTATATATATTTATATATTACATAAATAAATCAGGCCAATAGAGTTCAGGGGTGCTGAGACGGGGCACCCCAGGTGCTAGGTCTCGTGCCCAGGGCACCACCCAGGCTGAGCTGAGGGTTGGTTCTTATTGCTGACTTGGGGCCTGGCTCGGGGGCAGGAGCACCTGCGGGCCCTGCCCCGGCCGTTCCTGGCCTCTCTGGGGAGGCTAGATGCGCTCAAATCCACGTGGGCCCCTCAGTCCCCCCCTCTGCCCCCCGTGCTGTTGCTTGGAGACAACTTGTGCCCTCCTGGGCCCAGCGGCCCCTCCCAGCCCCTTCTCTGGGGGCCCTGGGCTCCGGGGGGCCGTCGTGCTATGTTGAGCTGAAAGTGCTCTGGACGAGGGTCCGCCTGGCTTCCTGATGTCGTAAAAAGAAGGGGCTCTTGCCAGCACGTTCGTGGCAAGAAAGCACACGTGGAAGCTGTCCGCTAAGCGCGGGACTGAAACATTTACTAACCGTCTTGCTGGAAAGAAGTGGAGGTGGTTTTTCTAAAAAAGTCCACAGCGGCTCCCTGGGAGGGCTGGTGCCTCCGCCTCCGGGTGGGGCTGGTGGGTCCAGAGCCCGGCAGCTGCCTGAGTGGGGACTGGGAGCTGGGTCCCCAGGGGGCCCAGGTCCCTGATGAAAGGGCGCAGGGGACCCAGGGCACCTGGGGCTGGAAGAACCGCGTCAGCACTTCCTCCTTCCAGGTGGGAGCTCCAAAAAGTGTTTTGTTTTGTTAAAAAAAAAAAAAGGAAAGAAAAAAGCGGGGTGGGAGGGCTGTAAGTACTACATGGAGTGCGTTCACTACAGGTGGGCCAGGCCGGGCGGAGCCTGGTGGGCAGGTGGGCGGCGTTCAGAAGATGTTGGGGCACATGTGCCAGTCCTGCTTCTCCTTGGCCTCCCAGTAGCCGCCCTTGTACATGCAGGCCGTCTCCCCGGTCAGCGGGTCCAGCCTCCTCTCGAACCACAGCGGCGTGTGCACCTCGGTCTCCTTCTCTGCGGGGCGGGCACAGCGGGCGGTGGGCAGGCAGCCTCCCCCCTGGTCCCCAGGGAACCTGCTCCCAGGCCCCCCTGCCTCT